CTTCTTTCTTATTATTCTTCTACTGTATTCTTCTTCTTTTATATTTCTCTCTGTCCCCACGCTCCCCTGAACTTTTTTATCTCTGGGTTTGATTATCCATGGAAATTCAGGCACATGAGCTACCCTACACGAGCACTTACAAACAACAATTTTCATAAAGCGCTTGTAAATAAAATCTAATAGATTTGAAACTCGAGAGTGTTTCTTCTCTTCGTCCTTCTCCTCCTCCTATCATTTCTTTTATTTTATTCTGTATTATTTTTTTCTTTTTTATATATAGCTTCCTCCATTCCAGCGAGATAAGCCATTGTTGAGGATATTTCTACGAAAACTAAACGCCAAGGATGTCTCAACACGTGCTCGGCTTGGTCTCCTCTTGATCATCTCTTACTTCGAGATTATGCTGAGGTTTGCTGGGCTACTTTCATTATCTCTCCCTGAACCCCGAACTTTATTATCCCCTAGTGTTTATTCTCACGGGCATGAGGTTAACCCTGAGGGGCAATTGAACCCCCCCCTCTCCGGCGAAAGTATAACACTCCAGCACCCTGGAAGCGTTACTTTGGCACCTCCCAACTTGCTTCGAATCATACACGTCGCCATCGTCGTCATCAGCGTTACCGTCGCAGCGGCAGTAGCACGAGTCAGGAGGGGAATAGGAACATCTAGGAATCCTACATATTCCCATTGGGATACCGCAAGAGTCAAGGCGCGGGAACTATTTATTTCATCTCTTTTGCGCGGTGCTAAAGATATCGTTCCGCGAAAACCGGCCCCAATAATTGTCTAAGTACGGTGCGGTGCTAACGATAACCCCGGGGGGGTTCTTAATTGCTTACTGAGACTAATGGTGCTGATGTGACGATGAGAACGATTAGCGTTGTGACGATGACGATGCTGATAGTGATGATGACGATTCCGATGACGATGGCGATGACTTGCCGATGGTGACGATGATGATGATGCTGCAGATTACGATGGTAGTAATGATGATGACGACGATGATGTGGCTGTCGGTGATAACGCTATGTATGTTACCCACGGTTTGATTGTTCACTATCACCCCAAGGAAAGACGCTGCTCGGACACAATTGGCCAGGCCAAAAACGCATTGGTCACGTCTCAGGACAAGTGTGTTCTAGCATGTGCCAGGAGTGATGATGCTACCATCGCCACCCGTCTGCTCAGAGTATGTTTTCGGGCTGGCCTATATTCCATTCCAGGCCCCCCCCCTAACTCTATGGCACGAGCAGGCATGATGCGCTGGCCTCTGCTGGGCTGCGCCGCCGCCGCTGGCCTCCGGTCACCAGACTGAGACATATCCCCTCCCCTGTGACTGGCAACGCTTCATCTCTGCGCCGATCCGATGGATCCTTTCGGTTTCTGAGGACACTCTTCCCCAAGCTCGGGCACCGAGTTGGGCTGGCTAGTGCGAGGGACAAGCATAAGATCTCGGATGTTGCCAGAAGTGTCCCTGACCCAATGTGCCCCCAGGATTTCCAAGGAGCCCCACGGGATTCAGAGCACCCCTCACAAGGCCCCGAGGGCTCCCAGCGACTCAAGTGGATCGAGAAGTTGGAGATCATGAGCGGATAGGGGTGTCCGTTGTCGGATAGGGGGCCTCCGCTCGCACGGGAGCCCCTTCGGGGTTCGAGATTCTGTGCCCATAACCCATAGTGCCTGCATCTCCTTGCCCTTCTCCGCTCCTCATCCTCCCTGGAAGTTCGAGCGTGTATTGCTCATGTATCAGGGGACATCTTGGGCCAGACAAGCCTTCAGTTCTGCTAAATGCGTCCCTGAGCGCTCCGCCCAGGACGTTCAGGGGGCTCAGCCCAGCTGAGCTCACTGCTTCGAGGGCTCAGCCCAGGGATGTCCTCAGCACTGCTGAGGGCGTCCCTGGGCTGCGCCTGCATCTCCTTGCTCTTCGTCGCTCCTCCTCTCTGTAAGCTTAAGCGCGTGTTGCTCTTTCGCCAGGGGACACCTTGGGCCGGGGACGCCTGCAGCAATCCCCGAAGATCCGAGGCGGGGACTGATTCACAACCGCCGCCTGGGTGATCGACCTTCTGGGACCCTGGCAGGCGGTGGATACGTTGATATTTTCGGTCCCCCCCTGGGCCAAATGTATCCGTAGCCACCGCCCGCTGGGGTCTCAGGACGCCGGTTCCTCAGCCGGTGGACATGGATACACAGTGAAGCCGGTGAAAGAAGGAGCGCTTTGGGCTCAGGAGGGGCTCTGGTTCTCGGGCCGTTCCTGAGCTCTGGGTCGGAGGACCTCTTCGTGACCGAGGCCCGCCGCAGCCAGAAAGGCCCTCTCGCTCCGCATTCCGCCTCGCAGAGTAGCGAGGCCGCTCATCGGGAGCACGACGCGGGCACCCAAGGACGGTGCGACCTCGGCCCGGGTGGGCGCCCGCGCCGCGGGGCGCGCCGCGCGGCTCCGCCCGAACAGCGCCGCGGCGAGCAGGACCGGGAGGGGCGTCCGCGATCGGAGGGGGGCCAGCCTGACCGGAGGTGGACTCCGATATCCATGTGTAGATGCATGTGTGCATGCATGCATGCATGCATGCATGCATGCATGCATGCATGCATGCATGTATGTATGTATGTATGTATGTATGTATGTTTGTATGTATGTATGTATGTATGTATGTATGTATGTATGTATGTATGTATGTATGAGGTTGTATGTGTAAATGCGCATGTATATGTGCAAGTACGAATGTATGCATGCATGTATGCATATGTGTCTGTCTATATGCACGTATGTAAGTATGCATGCATGCGTGTGTACGCATGTATGTATGCACACACATATATATACATATCTATATATATATGCATTCATGTGTGTATGCATGCATCTATGTATGTACGTATGTGTGTATGTATGCATGTACGCACGCATGCATCAATGTCTATACGCATGCATGCATGTCTGTATGTATGTACTCATGTATGTATACACATATGTGTGCATGCATGCATGCGTGCCCGTATACATGTATGTTTGCATGCATGCATGCACGTATTCATGCATGCATGTATGCGTGCATGCATGCATGTACGTATGTATACATGCATGCCTGTATGTATGTATGTATGTATGGATGTATGGGTGCAGGTATTCATGTATACATGTACGCATGTACTCGTGTATGTATGTATGTATGTATGTGTTTTTGTGTACGTATCAATGCATGCATGCATTGATTAATGTACGTGTGTGCGTATGTCTGCATGTCTGCATACACGCATGACTGTATGCATCCACGCAGGTATGCATGCACATATATATATATGTATATATATTAGTGTATGTATACTTGCATGTGTATCTATATGCATGTCTGAATGTGTGTATGTTCGTATGCATGCATGCAGCATGCATACACGGTTGTATGTATTACTGTATGAATGCTTGAATGTATGAGTGGATTCATGTGTACATGCACGTGTCTAGGTATACGTATCTGTATGCATGAATGCATCTATGAGTGCACGTATGTACGTATGCTTGCGGGCATGAATGCATGCATGCATGGATGTATCCATGCATGCGTGCATGCATGCATGTATGTATGTATGCATGTGTGTGCGTGCATGCATGTATGTGTTCATGCATGCATGCAGGCAGGCGTGCGTGTATGTAGCTATGTGCGCATGCATGCATGCGTTCATGGACGTATGTATGTATGTATGCATGCATGACTGTATGTATGCATATACGCATGTGCGCATGCATGTATGTATTAGTGCATACGTGCATGCATGCATGCATGTATGTATGTAGGCATGTATGAATGTGGTGTATGTATGTCTGTGTGTATGCATATACATGAGTTTGTATGTACGTATGCATGTGTACATGCATATGCGTATGCGTAGATGTATGGTTGATGTGTGGTGTGTGTAGTTCGGTAGGTAGGCATGTACGTATGCATGCATGTATGCATGTATGTATGTCTGCGTGTATGTCTATGGATATGGACATGTATCTGACATTTTCAGACCCACACTGGCCCCAAGGTGGGCCAAGAGGGCTTCAAGAGGCTCACAAGACAGTCCAAGAGGGCCCCGAGACGCCTCAAGATAGCACCAAGATGCCCAAGATGTTCCCAAGACGGCCCAAGAGGCCTCCGAGACGCCCAAAGAGAGCCCCAAGAGCCTCCCCAAGAGGGCCCCAAGAGGCCCAAATCATGGATTTCCCATAGCTTCTTCAGTAATTTTGGGGTCCTCGACTTTTCAAGCGCCCGACGCTCCGAGACGGCCCAAGAGGCCTCCAGGACCGCCCCAAGACGACCTAAGAGGCCTCCAGGAGGGTCCCAACACGGCCCACGAGGGCCCCAAGACAGCCTCAGAGGCGTCCAAGACGGCCCAAGAGGGCCCAAAGACAGCTCCAAGACGGGTCCAAGAAGGGACACACCAACCGAACATCCGAGTCTTCCGCCCCCTGTGGGCCCCAGGAGGCCCCAAGGAGACCCCGCGAGGCCCCCAAGGAGCCCCAGGAGGCCCGCACGAGAGGCCCTAACCGCGCCAGACACGGCCGGCGCGGTTCCCAGTGGCGTCCGCAAGCACGTGCTCCAATCGGGAGGCGAGCCCCTCTGGGACAGGGCATGCGCAGGCCACTGGCCTGCGGCCCGGCCTCCATTTTCAGTATTCGTGTTCTTCTGTTCCCTCCTCCTCCTCCTCCTCCTCCTCCTCGTCCTCCTCCCCTTCCTCCCCTTCCTCCTCCTCCTCCTCTTCCTCCTCCTCCTCTTCCTCCTCCTCCTCCTTCTCCTCCTCCTCCTTCTCCTCCTCCTCCTTCTCCGTGTGTGTTGCCTTGATTGTGGCCCTCCCATATTTCGTCCGCCGATTGGGCTCTTCGGCGCGTCGGAGGAGAAAAGGCTTGCGCGCGTGCGTTCCAGTGCAGTGCCCGCCCCGCTTGTCGGCGACATTGCCTTGCTTGGGCTGCGCAGGGGTCGGTGAGAAAAAGTTCCGCCACCGCTGGCCGCGGGGGGGCCCAG